TTTAATAGTTCTATTTTTCTTGATTATGAAAACCAGACTTGCTATTTTGAAACTGGGATAACTTAGCTGATATTAAGATAGGGTAATTGAAGGATGCAGTGACTCAGTGGCTAAGACGCTGAACTTGTCGATCAGAAAGATCGGCAGTTCGGTTGTTCGAATCCCTAGTGCCATGTAACAGAGTGAGCTCCCGTTACTTGTCCCAGCTTCTGCCAACGTAGCAGTTCGAAAATAAGTAAAAATGCAAGTAGAAAAATAGGAGCCACTTTTGGTGGGAAGGTATTAGCTTTCTCTGCGCCTTCGGCGTTTAGTCATGCCGGCCACATGACCACAAAGACGTCTTCCGACAGCGCTGACTCTTTGGCTTTGAAATGGAGATGAGCACCACCCCCTAGAGTCGGGAACGACTAACACATATGTGTGAGGGGAACCGTTACTGTTACGTTAACATTCTTAATTATGAAACCATTAAAAATGGTAGCTATATTTTTCTAAAAGAACAAATTTGGTAAGTAAAATAATGTGATGAAAAAGAAAGAAAGGGCAATGTTAATTTTTGGTTGACTGAAAAGAAAGATAGAAAAATGATATGTTAATTTATCTTATTATTCAAAATTCATTATTACACCAGCTCTTTTTTAGATTAACTCAAGGATCTATGTTCTATAAAAGAAAGAATGTACTGGCTTCTATGTTCTCTAGGACTATTTTCTTCTCTAGAACAAAATAGATTTTTCACCATAGGTTTTACTATAATTAAAATGGAAAAAGGCTCCCTCTTTGGGTTTGGTGAAGTATGATTTAACATTCTAGAAGCTCTAGTAAGTATTTATATTTCCTTTCTCCTTTTTTGAATATTGTGTTCTCCATTTTGTGCATAAAATTTGTAATTTGTTGACTGTTGCTAAAATGAGAATATAGGGAATCCTTGATTTACCAATATAATGGAGTCTGGAATTTCTATCATAAGTCATGATGGTCATAAGTTGAAGTACCAACATGACTGTACTTGATGTATGAGTTTTTTTGCAGTGGTTGTTAAGTAAACATAGTGGTTGTTAAGCAAATCCATGTAATTATATGGGCCCTTTTTGTTGGAAAGGTCAAAAACTGGCAAACAAGTTATAAAGTTGTATGGTTATATGACCTTGGACCACTCAAACCAGCCATAAAAGTGATTTGGTTACCAAGCAGCCAAAATGTGGTCATGTGACCACAGGTATGTGTGCAACCAATGGAACTCCACAGTCTTAAGAAGCTTTTGTGGGGGCAGTTGCTAATGTGAGGACCACTTGTATACTTTTTAGGAAGCAAATATAAGCTATAATAGACGAGCTGCTTTTCAAAAGGGTTAGGAGATCAAAGCTGATTGGTACAATTTTTACTTGCCTCATCTTGTTGGTTTATTATGATGATTGTTTTAATTGTTCCATTTCTGTGCCTTTGGAAAATGCATATAGTAGTATTGAGGTAGAAAGCAAGATAGAAATATAAAGAAACTGTTATTAAGGAACTGTTGAGAAGACAGATGTTTCAGTATGTTCTGTTTATTGATATTTCTTACAGGGAACAATTTACCTGTAATGGAAAACTAGCCTTAAGGTCACATTCTACGAGTCCTCCTCGTTTGTCAGAAGATGAGACCTTTCCATCAAATACAAGGGTAAGGATTTTCCATATTTGCAGTAGCCAGTTTTCTTTAAGTTTCAAAATGCAAAAAGAGGTATATTGAGTCCCGCATTTCAGTAACACCCAAGAAGTTAAAACAGAAAAAAGGCAGAACTGATATAAAAAATGTGTGTGTGTGTGTGTGTGTGTGTGTGTGTATAGCATAGCATAGCATAGCATAGAATAGCATATTGCAATATGTCTTAAACTACAACAGTTTTTTTGCAAAAAAAAATAATTGAGTTGGGCCCAACAAAGAATATGGGAAACAGATAGCATATATTCTTCAACACTACGGTCAACTTTAAAGTATTTAAGCCTTTTTGGCCTCTTCTTAACAATAGTCATTTGAAGATGTCTGTTTTGAATAATTTATCCTGCATCAAATGTCATAGCTTAATAAATAAAATGGTATGAAAAGACAAAGAGCTCTGAAAATTATACAGCTTTCCTCAACTTAATTGACTAAATTCCCAGAATTTTCTCCCATTTCCTTCAGTGCCTTTATAAACAATTTCCTGATGCAAAGGTTCCCCAAAGAGGCTTTCATATGCTAAATTAATTCTCCCCTGCCATTACTACTATTTATGTGAAAATAATTGCTGATTTGTATTAAGAAATTACATAGCATTATGTACAGCAATTTGTATATAATACACATGTTCTCTCCTAATTTTCCAGTTTTCCATATTTGCACTAAAACATTTTACCTAAAAATTGAATGTTTCAGGGAGATTGTTATAGAAGAAAAACTTCTTTTGATGACAGTGACTTTGAAGCTCGTCTCAACAGTTGGAATCTTGGGGTAAATTCTGTTTTTCCTTTTTTATTTCAAAATGTTAATCATTGTAATCCCTGCATTCAGTATGTGGCATGACTTTGCATATGATATTCTAAAATGAGTTGGAAAGAAACTAAAATAAATCTTGGTGTTTTTAAAGATATTTAAGAATCCCAAACTTTATTTTCCACAGTGTCCAACTAAGTGTTTCTAGGAAATCCATCAGCAAGATGTACAGCAACAGATTTCTTTCTGTATTTCACCATCTGGTATTCAGAGATACACTGTGATTTATTTTGGAGGTTGTATATAACCGTCATGACTAGTAGCTATTCGTACATCAAATATATCTAATCTCTTTCAAAACCCATGTAAGAAAAGTGTTTGTTAGATGATGGGAACAGGAAATTAAAAGGTCAGTGGAACTGCGGAGAGTTGTGGATAATATCATATAAGATTGGAAAGATATAGGATGATGGATTTTTGTTACTTTCATGTGTTTCATATGATGGGAGGCTATGTTTGTATGTGGGGAGGGTTTTGTCCCTCAGAAAATAACTGTTTTTGCTCCTATCAAATAGTTATGTCATTTCAGGAATTGGCACAACTATTTAAGAAGTTTCAGAAAGGTTCTACGTTTGTAGCCCTATGAACTCTAAAGCATCTCTTTGCTTTCAAACCTGAAGTGCTACATAGCCTAATGCCAAATAAATGGTTTGGTAGATGGTATTGTCTCTGCCTCTGCAGTCAGTTTGTTGATAAAATTACTTGGATTTTTCTACTGACAGACAGCTTAACAAATCTTAAAAATATCAAATAATAGTGCATCAGTAAGAAATATAGATGGGAAAACCAGATAGCAACAGACATACAAACACTCTTCAAAAGGTTATTCTACCCAAAAGTTGGATAAAGAGCCAGGTCTTCAAGGTCCTATGAACTTCCAATAGGATAGTAGCCACCTGGATCTTTGAGGGAACCTCATTTCAGAGGGCAAGTGCTGTTAGAATGTGGTTTCGGGATCTCAGTAGGTGGTATTGTTTAATCAAAGGAACCCAGAACTTTCCATGCTTGTTGGACTGGATACTAGGAGAGTTAGTCTCTTGGGTAGTTGGATCCTATGCCATGAGTAATAACAAGCAACTTGAATCACACTTGGAAACAAGCTTCCAACCAATTCACTTATGGAGCAGAAGTGTTACATGCCCATGTTGCCTCATTCTGGACCAGTTGAAGCTTTTGGGTGTTTTCAACAATAGCCCCTTGTAGAATGCAGATATCAAGCTGAAAAGACCTGGTTGAGAATGATTGTCTTAAAGGCTTCTCTATCTAAGGAAGGGTACAATTGGTGTATTAAGTCAAAGTTATGCAATGGCCTTCTTGCTCATCAGGCGGCATGAGTCCCAGAAGACCTGCAGATTGTGCCCTATTCTTGAATGGGGAAGTGTCCCATCCAAGTTTAAACATGCAACATCCTCAGAGCTAGGTAGCATAAAAAGTTACAACTCCTGCTTTAGACTTTTAGCTTGAATGTAATGATTTTATTTGAACATAATTCAGTTATGAATGGAGTAGTTCATTGTATTTTCTAAAATGAGGAGTGCTTGCTGGCACTGATGATGTTACCTACTAATAAAACATCTTGCAAGAAAACAACCAAGCTCAGAGAACAGAAAGATCCTTCATTTCAGCCCTGAGCTACAAATATTCACCTTTATTTTTTTAAAAAAAAATATTAAGAAAATAATATTTAACCTTAACTGGTATTTCTGGGTTTTTTTGTTTACAAACAATACATTATTATGGTAATTTAAGTACGGGAAGTATACTCTAGCAAAGTTTTGCTAAAAGAAGCAAGTTTCCCTTTTTTTTGGTTAAAGATTTTTCAGTATTGGTGGATACTGTTTATGTAGAAGATACCATATATTAGTTGTGGTGTTGGCCCTATGCAGGCTCTGGATGGTGCTCCTCCTAGTGGGTTTATGACTTATATGTTCTACTGGATTCACAACTGCTTCTTGAACAGAAACTAGAAATTGTGGACAGGGGAGGGAGACTTTGTCTAATGCTGTGCCAGTTACACTCCCTTTGGAATGGGATGTTCTTGCAAGAATCATGGTTACGTTGAGATGGGATTGTTGAAATGTATTCAGCTTGGGGCTACCTTTGAAGACTACCTGGAATCTTAAGCTTATGGAGAATCTGGCAGTCACCCTGCTGGCAAGTGACAATCTTTTTGGCAGTGTTACTTCTATAGTGTAGGCTTTGCATTAGTTGGTATGCTTATGTGTGCAGTTCAATATAATTTTACATGACTAGGACCTATGTTATTAGGGAACCCTCTCTTCCAAAAACAATCTACCTGTCCTATGTAGTTAGTCCAGGAAATGATGGTGTGAGACTTTTAAGAGTCACAACTGCCGAATCAGTGTTTGCTTGTTTGTTTGCAATATCTCTCTCACTCTCTAGTATTCTAATCCCCCAAGGCAGGATTACCCTTCCACTTTTAAAATTCAGAAAGGTGGTAAAAATTCTTTGCTTCTGGGATCTAAGTTACTCTAGTGGATTGTTTCCAATTTCTAATTATATTTTAATTATATTTGTTGTTTTAAATTGACTGTTTTAGGATATTTATAATGTTTTAAATGAGCTTCCTTGAGTATTTAAAATTGAACAGAATATAAATTATGTAAATAATAAATAAAACATAAAATCTGCCCATAGGGTAAAAATAAATACATTTTTAAAAATCAATATTATGCATGTTTTTAAAAATAATTCCAAGGGAAAATTTAATGAAGCTTTATTACATTATCCATCATGATATTTTTCCTGAAAGTCGATGGGTTTTTACTATTATAATTACTTTCTGAAACATTTTTAATTTATTAATTTATTTATCCTTTATTACTTTTAAAATAATAACAAAGAAATGGGAAAAAATCCTACTAAGATAAGAATGCATTCATTGTTAAAGAAAAAAAATATAGAAAGTGTGATTTTAAAAAAAAGTGAATAAATGTAACCAGAAAAATAATATTCCGTATCATTTTAACTGAAAATAGTTACAATTCTGTATATAGATCTGCACCGATCATCTTGGCTTTCCCAAAGGACCTGAAATCCTGGCTCTGTCAATTGGGATGTGTCATACTGGAGAGTGGTTAATAGATTAAAATTCTGTACTTCCACCCAAAGTACCTTGCTCACTTTCTAACCATTTTTGTCAATTTTAAAGTTAATTTCAATGGTAATAATTGTTATTGTAATATTTTAATGTTTTATTCTGTTCCTTTTACTTGTTTTAAGCTGCCTGGAGAGTAGCTTGGTGAGATGGGTAGCATATAAATCTCACAGTAAATAAAAAGAAATAAGTAAATAGCTACCTAATGCAATTATTATTCAAATACATATATATTTCTCTTACATTTATATAACTATAGCATTTAAAACCAGCTGTGTTTTGTATAAATGAGTCCCATGCTTCATTATATTTGTCCTAACAAAGTCTACGTCTATAGGCAATACACTCATAGGTGACAACTGCAGTCAGGTTAATTAATTTCTGTAACATGACATGTCAGCGCTAAAAAAAGGGGGTTGGCGTTCAAATATTGAGGAAAAGCTGAGAATTGAAATGTAGTGAACAAATAATATTTGTGATGCAGCTAGATTAATATATTTGGGATATCTAGTTGCTGATGTTGCTACATTGAAAAACGAAACCCGAAAACTAAAAAGTCAGAATTAACAGTAATATGAAACCAAGGAGCATGAACATGAAAAACCTTGATATAGTGAAAGATGAAATGAATCAGCTACACATTGACATCTCAGGCAATAGCATTGGGAATGGTTTTGTTTTTGTCTCTATATAACATTTGTCTGTATATATTGGAAATCATCCAGAATTGCTAATTTACTACATTTTAAAAATAACATATGTAAACATTTTGTAGATGTTAATGGTGTTAATTGCATCAATGTCTATTTGCATAATTGTACTGTTTCAACAAATGAAACAGTGGGTTTGGTGTTTAAATAAAATTATTAGGCTGTTTAACAAAGATGTAAAAAGAATAGTTCTATGAGCTGATAGATATACTTGCTATGAACTATTCATAGACTTTCAGTTTGTACCACAGAGATGTTGTCTGTTTAACAGTGTGAGTTGAAGGATAAGAAAATCCCGAGAAAAATTAGATAAAGACATAAAAGTTAAAATGTTGCTTCTCAAAATATTCTTTAGGATATCATAACCTGCTTCAATTTCCCATATTGTCATTTGTTTGCTTGTTTGTTTGTTCATTAATTAATTAATTAATTAATTAATTAATTAATTAATTCTCTCTCCCCCCCTCTTTCCCTCCTCCCCTCCCGCTCCTTCTCTCTTAAATATAAGCTTTTTTCATTCCATTTATATCTCACTTTTTCTCTTTACTTCACAGTAACTTTGTGAAGATTTGCTGGAGAGACTATGACTCTTAAAGCTAAGCTGTTGGTTTCATGAGTTTAGTATGAGATTTTTAAAAATATGTCTCTATCATAAACTAAGCACAAACCCTTTAAACCAGTGTTTTTCAACCACTGTGCCGCGGCACACTAGTGTGCCGTGACATAGTGTAAGGTGTGCCGTGGGAAAAACACCTTATATGTAGTCAATATAGGCACAGAGTTAAATTTTTTTAACATTTTCTAATGGTGGTGTGCCTCGTGATTTTTTTCATGAAAAAAGTGTGCCTTTGCACAAAAAAGGTTGAAAAACACTGGCTTAAAGCATGGTCAGAGCTGCCGTCTTTCTATAAATCTTGGTGGGGGTGTGTGGAATGCTGGCTTTGTTTCAGAAAGTGGATTGATTGGATGTGTGGCTGTATCATGATTGGTAGATTGGTGTTGATTGGTGCTGGCTGTAGGTTGTTATTTTGTGTTGTAATGGCCTGGGTGGTGGGTGGGGCTCGTTTGTTTACCAGGGCTGGTTTCCAGATGTTTGGCAGGTGGGAGGCATCATCACATTTATTCATGTTATGGGGGTGTT